ATCTAATGTTAAGCACAACAATGAATTTTAGTAATGCGTTAGTTAATGTTAAACTATGATTAATTAATTAAATACATTAACTGACAGACCATTATTCTGAAGTGTTACCTTATATATTATAAAATATAAATAAATTATTAGCAGCACTATATACTGTAAGTTAAAGGATTTTAGAGTAAAAGGCTTACATTTGGAGCAAAAATGACAACTGTTACTGGCTTTGTTGCACCAGTTATAATTGTCAGTTTACTCACAGATTAATCCAGTTTGGGTAGGTGATCTATACCAATCAAAATCAATCTTGAGCCCGAAAACTCAGTGTTTGCTCAAACTAACTGCAAACTCACCTGGATAATAACCCTGGCTTTGTGCAACATACCACAGACTTGCGCTCTCCTTCACTCTTTATGATTTCTGCAAAACCATTCTAACAAATTGATAAGTGAAAATATGTCTATTTTAAGACACAAAATTATTTTCAACTGTTAGAGCTAATGAAGCTAATTTTTACTGTGACATTTAAAAAAAAGGCTGAGGATAAATAGTTTATTTACAGCTTACAGTTACGCTTATAGTCTCAGGTGCATATGACAATTTTGAGTGCAACTATGAGAATCAAATCCACTGCTGTATTGCAGTCGCCTTCGATAAAAGAGCTCATTTGCAACCACAGGCAGCAGCCACATGATCGAACTGTGAAAATGTGAACTTGATGAATGAGTAATGCAAGGCAGAACTTATCAGCACTTCAGCATGAGGTTATGGGAAGGAAGAAAGTGTGCTCATATTTTCCAGCAATTCTTGTCACTATTCAGCTTTGAACACACTGATCCAATCAGACAATGACTGGTCAATTTTCCCCACTATATCGTCAATTTCTCTTGGACTGAGAACAACAGTTTGGCTGATTTGTCAGACCGTAACTATAACTTTTCATTTTGGCACCACCATAAATAATATCAAGGTGGAGAGATGTTTTTTTTTTTATTATATGATATTGCTCTCCTGTTTTTTTACGAACACTCACCAAAATAGAGTGATAAACTGAACTCATCCAGAGAAAGAGCAGACGGTTGCAGAATTGTTTTGGCTTGTGCTGTATACACTACAGCTGTTTTATTTGGTCGACTGTCAAGCCTTTTTATGTCATTTGTTGCACTTGTTCTCATCCAATGCAGTGACTCACAGAGTAACAGTCACAGCAGAGCCTGAAATTTTGCGAATACTGAATATTTGCGATCTTTCTGTGTCCGGTTTTAGATTATAAGGGCCTTTGAAGCACATTTAATGTTTTCCCAAATTTCAATAACATATCATTTTCTTCCTTTTGATACTCAATTTTAATTGATAGATTTTCATATAACAGATTTTTGTTTTTAAATGCATGTCCAGTTAATGCAATGTATGCACAGCTAATGTTTTTCTGCCAATCATGAAATTCCAGTGAGAGCTTTAGGTGACTATTTTCAATTTCCTAAGTTTCCGATTACTGCATCAATGTTGTAATGTAATTAAGGTACATTCAGGTAAATACACTTAAGCATCCAGTTGGTTGTTAAAGCATAAAAAGAGGCAAAAGACTGTTTAAACACAGGTACCGTCAATAGCTGCAGGTCAGCGCAGAAATTCCATTGAACATACTGGGGTAAAATTAATTTCCATATTTTAAAGACATGGAAATATAGTTTATTGCTGTGTTTTTTGTTTGTACTGATACCCACTTTATGTCTTATCTCAGCCAGGCAGTGAAAATCGCAGTTTTTTACAGAAATCACATCTTAAACTCTGCAATTTTGTATGAGATGACAATATTCCAGAAGCCCTGGTGCTGGAAGATTGAAATTAAAAATCAAGGTTAATTGACAAATATGTAATCAGTTAAGTTAGAATTAGTTTGTTAGTTCCAAATCTGTACAGCTAATTTAGATTTTACTGCATTGTGGAAAACATAAGGGCTAAGTTCTGCAGTTGTCAGAATTATTAGCCCTTCTGTATATTTTTTCCTCCCTTTTTTTTTCAACTGAAACAATCATTTTGATAACTAGTTTCTAATAACTGATTTGCTATGATAACAGTACATAATATTTTGCTATATATTTTTCAAGATATTAGTATTCAGCCTAAAGTGCAATTTAAAGCCAAGTTGGTGTAATTAGGCAAATCATTGTATAATGATGGTTTGTTCTGTGGACAATCAATATATATCAATATATATCAATATATATCAATATATATATATATATATATATATATATATATATATATATATATATATATATATATATATATATATATATATATATGTATATATATATATATATATATATATATGTGTATGTGTGTGTGTGTGTGTGTGTGTGTGTGTGTGTGTGTGTGTGTGTGTGTGTGTGTGTGTGTGTGTGTGTGTGTGTGTGTGTGTGTGTGTGTGTTTGTGTGTGTGTGTGTGTGTGTGTGTGTGTGTGTGTGTGTTGCTTAAGGTGCCTAATAATATTGACCCTAAATTAGTAAAAACAAAAAAATAAAAATGCTTATTTTATGGCTGAAATAAAATAAATAATATTTTCTCCCAAAAAAATATTATCGAATATGCTGTGAAAAATGTCTTGCTTTGTAAAAACATAATTTGAGTAATATTTGGAAATGAAAACAAAATGAAAGGAGGCTTAACCCTCTGGGCTCTGAGGGTGTTCTGGGCCTTTTTTGGGTGTTTTGACATGCACTGACGTTTGTGTTGTTTTCAGTATTTTAAAAACATATAAATGACTAAAGTGTGGTAATTTCTAAACAGCACAAGTTGGGCTACAATAATTGTCACTTCAATCTTATATGGTTTCTAGATCTTTTTTTGCAGATGTGCTCATTTCTTCCAGCCTCATCTGCTGTCGCCTTTGTGTTTCTACAAAGCTCTTGCAGACTAACAATGGTTTACCTAAACATGGTTTACCTTTTTTGTTTTAGTTGAACCTTCTGGACTCCAGTCTTCACCTTATTTCTACCCTCCATTACATGGTTAAAAGCATCAGGTAATAAACTATTTTGCTATATTGAGTATTTTGGATAAAAGTGCAATTTCCCAATAGTTTCTTGAATTTGTGATTATACAATGATACTGTATAATTTGACTTGTTATTTGCACAGTGAATTTAAAAACATTTCTTTCTTAAAATACAAAATAAATCATTAGGCATATTTTTTGTAAAACATTTCAGTCATTTAATGATTATACCAACATTTTATTTGAATATTCACAAAATATATATATATAAAAAATATTGAAACTCAATATTCTGCTCTCATTGTAGACGTTCAGCGTTCCTCTCACTGTCTATATAAAATGCATTTGTAGGATCATTTAAAGGGATAGTTCAGCCAAGATTCAGTCATTTAAAGAGCCATGCTTGCTTAACATGCAAGCCAATGAGGTTTATTCTCACATGAGTAACCTTATTCGATAAGCTCTACCCATGTGCATTGGTCAATGTTTAATAAAGGACTAAATTAAATATGTCATGTAAGACAAAAATGATATTGAATTCAGCCAATCAGTGCACATTAATTGATTTTACAACGTCTTAATGCACCTTTTGATGTTGCTTGAAACAATATTTAAATGCCTTTATTTTTGTTCCAAAGATGAAGAAAATGAGTAAATGATGACATTAATGCTGTTTATGGGTGAAATATCCCTTTTATTAAAAAAAAGAAGAAACAAACAAACGAAAAAATTCACATCTTTGACCCATATGCACTTAACTTTGTATAAATATATACATAAACGCACATACATGTATATGCATTCCCTTCAAGTTATATCATCATCAACACCATAGAATGTCCATTGTAAAAACTCGCTTTCAGTCCACTACTGACCCAATACAACAAAGATATAGGCACCTTGAAGAATTCCTTAATTAGCATCGACCCCTAATAAAACAAATCTGTGTTTGTCCATGATAACGGATAACTAAAAGTGGCCTGTTCTGAATCCTCCTGTGACCTTTAGTTATCTTTAACTGTTTGATGAAGGTAGATATGGCCTCATTTGATATTATACAAAATAGAATTCAACAAAATGGGGTGATTGTGCAAGGAAAGCAAACAGCAGCTTATCACTGAAATTTAAACCTTTAAAAAAAAAAAAAAGTCTTCGTTCCTTCTGAGAATCGCAGCAGTCCTATGGGAAATAAAAGCATGGATTGTAGAATAGTCCCTTTGTGGCCATTTTCTTTTGTTAGTGTTGTTGGTGGTGCTATCAAACATAAAAATACAGCTTCTGGATCTGGCTGATTTGGTGACAGACAATTTGAGATTTTATTTTCACATTATAAGCGTCCTAACAACACGCGACACAACAAGACTCCAGTATCAAGCAATCAAGCAAACATTTAAATGCCAGCCATTTATAAGAGCAGAATAGTGCACTCAACAAAATGGACAGGTTTATAACCTAATTAATAAATTATAAACCTATTTAATATTATAGCAAGTACATACTGAGTGATTGATGTTGATTTTCTCACTCACAGTTCTGATGTTTATGTTTCTATTATTTTATTTTCAAAATCTAAGGTAAACTATCTGCTGTCACGTAAAATGGTATTCAAACTTACATTGGTAGCGATTAACACTGAGTAAAGCAAATAATAAGCACCTGAGGTGATCTCTGTCATAGTAATTTATGCTGTTTTTTCAGCCGTGACATTGCAGAAATAGAAACCCTATCATTCATTCGTTCTCTTTTGGCCTAGTCCCTTTATTTATCAGGGCTCGCCACAGCGGAATGAACCGCCAAATTAGCCAGCATATGTTTTACGCAGCGGATGCCCTTCCAGCTGCAACCCAGTACCAGGAAACATCCGTACATTCTTACAATCACACACATACACTACGCCCAATTTAGTTCATTCAATTCACCCATACTGCATGCCTTCTGACTGTGGGGGAAACTGAAGCACCCAGAGGAAACCTATGCGAACACGGGGAGAACATGCAAACTCCACATAGAAATGCAAACTGACCCAGCTGGGACTTGAACCAGCGACCTTCTTGCTCAGAGGTGACAGTGATAACCAATAAACCACCATGTCACCTATAAACCATTTCTAAACTAGAAAATCTGTGTCGCCATTGTGGATGGTTTGGGCAAAAACTCTCCTTAACATTAAAAAGATACCTTTTATTTGTGTGTCTCAGCATCGCGAGTAGTTAGAACATTGTGATATGAATACAATCTGACCAGAAAAGGATCAAATATTTGTCCTTTGGGTATTTTTTCCACATGTGTGTATTGTAGTAAAATAGACTTGACTGATACCGGATGTGCAACTTTCATTAATTTAATCACCGAGTATAGCCAATTTCTCCTATTCATTTTATACAAGCTACCAGGCTCCTCTGTATTTTACAGTCTCAGTTGTAGTTGGTGTGTTGGACAGCAGGGCGGTGCGTTTTTTTCTGGGAATTCATTCTGATCCATCAGTCCTCACATGGATATAAAAGTAAAGTTGTGCTGCTTCTCAGACTCTGTAAATGTTTGATCTGTAATATGACGTAGGTGTCCTCATGTCACTGGCCTCGAAATGTCTAATAGAGTCTCCATGCTAATTGCACGCTCCATGCTAAATGTTGCATTATCCATCGGGAGCTTTCCGCAGCCATTGGTAAAACTGTTCCTGGAACAGGATGTGCCATTTTACATTGGCTTGAACGATCTCGACGGCTCGAGCGAACGCAGGCGCTGACTCTCCTCCGCTGGTCAGGATGAACTCTTTCAGCTGAAGAGAAGATAAACAATTCTCATTAACATTATCATATGTATCAGAGATTGTGTGTTTATGTTTGTAAGTGGCACCTTCGGCTCTGACTGATAAACAGCGTCAGAATATACAACGCTTTTTCATGCAAATGCCTGATGTGTAATTTAGCAGATAACAATGATGTTTATGATAATGAGGTGTGGGAATGCATTGAAGTAAACAGAATTATCGGTGTTGTTTTAGTTGTTTGTCTGAAAGGGAAGGACACTTGGGTTTCTGAAAAGAATTATTTTATGATGATAATTCCAATTGATGATGTTGTGAGGTCTTGTGCATATGGAAGAATGTGCATTGCGATTTAGCGTTCGACATCATTGTTTAGTTTTAAGCCATTTCAGAATTGCATTTCATAGAATCTTTTAAAAGAAACGAAAAAATTCCAATCCAACATTGAATCTGTGGATGAAGTGCTCTGGCAGCAGCTGATTGTCAATGACAGTATGCTAATCCTCTCCTTTAGAAAACAATGAGGGGGTTCATATTATCTTTGCATGAATGATAAATTGTGGAAGGCAAAGTCAGCCGGATGAGAAAGTGCTGCAGTGAGAAGCATCAGCAGACTGTATCCTCTGGGACTGAAGCTGAATGAATTTGAATAAGTGAATATACGTTACATTTCCAGTAATAAGTTTAAGAAGGTACAATGAAGAAATAACCCAAATAATCAGTTTAGGGAACATTTCTGCAGTCTTCAAAGTGTACATTTGCTCATTTTCATCTTAAAAATATGCTGACCAAGGTTTTATTATTAATAAAATTATGTTAGTATGTTAAGCTGGAATTATACTCGCGCCTGGCACCGCATCGCGCACCTCCGCTGACTGCGCTCGCACCTCGCGAAACGGCTGAGGCTTTTATACTCACCGCGTTCGCCTTTGTGATATTCTTTAAAACGACAGGGGGCGGTCAAAAGAAACCCACCGTAAAGTCAGACGGATAAACAGAGAAGTAGAAAGTTTCCAGAACTACGTCATATCATAATATAGTTCAATATTTTTTAACTATTGATTTTGTATTGTTTTTATGCATTATTTTAATGATTATAAGTATTTTTTATAACAATTCATGATTTTTTTTTTATCAGATCACTTGCTTTTGTTCATATTTCAACTAGTTTTACCATTTAAAGTTTATTATAATATTAATCACAAGAGAACATGAGTTGCTTTACAAATATATTTTATTATGGAAAGAATAGAAGCACAAAAAAATATAGATTTTATTAGAAAAAGATTTTTTTCAGATTTAGCCCCCTCCACAAATATATAAATCAGTGTTAACGGTGGAAAAACATATTCTGTATTTGTAATTAATGACAACAGAACATGAGTTACTCTACAAATCTATGTTTTATTATCGCAAAAAAAGCACACTAACTAAAAAATAAAATTTTTTTTTTAGATTTAGCCCGCTCCACAATTCACACATTATTGTCTGGCTAGTTTCTGTCCTCTTCTTATGCTAAAAAGGCAATGATGGTCCAACATTACAGATCATTATCACCAATAAAGCCCAGAGAAACAGGGCATTAGTACATTGTAAACCGATAGGTTTAAATATTCCTTCCCAGTTATCAAAGAAATACTTCTGTGACTTCATTAGTTTTGTAACTATTAAACTGTTTTAAATTTAAAATTAAACAAAAGACATCAGTGTAAAACCTATAAATGGTGAAAAAACATATTTTGTGATTAGGGTTGTAACGGTATGAATTTTTCACGGTATGATAATCGTCTAAAACAATACCACGGTTTGACGGTTTCGCGGTATACGGTATGTTACAAATGTTACAAAATAATAGAACAGTGAAGCAAATTTGACTTTTTCCATATAATATATTTTTAGGTACTATAAACAACACCACTTACAATGAACAATCAAAAATAAGAAAATAATAAATAATGTGTCAAAGTCCAAATAAAGTCCAAATAAACATGGTGCAAATCCTCAGTAAAAAATAGATATAAATATTTACTATACTATAAATAGTTACATAACGAAACTAGATTCAATATGGAACATCCTTAGGTTTTATGTGCCAGCATGGATTTGGATGTGGTTGTACGCAATGCAGACAAACAGCTGCATCTTCATTTGCGTCTTTTGAAAACAGCAAGAGCAGCAGTTCGTCTTTGCTGTGTCACTGTTTTGTCATGTTTCTGTGCTGCTGTGGATGCAAAAGTACTTAGTATGAGAATTATTTCATGCAAAACTTTTTTTTTTTTGCGTTTTATTTAGCCGCGCATAAATGTATGCCTTTCTCTCATTCCGTGTTGTTCAAAAAGCTTGGGCTGTTTCTCAATTCCAAGAACGCAGAGAATGGACTTGCGTTCTTGTAGAGTGCGGTCTTGCCAGCTGTCCTCGGAAGAACGAACTCAGGAGACCGCGAGGGCAGAGAACGCGTCCTTTGAGAAATGGGATGCTGCGTTCTTCCTGATGGTCATGTGACCTTTACGCGTTTTAAATGGAAATTAATTAAACATTACAGCCTTCATACAACGATTTATTGTTTCCCCCCTCTTCAAAATATATACTTTGCATAAAAACATTATAAATATACTCTGCACATTATAAATAAAACAAATTTTAATACGAATTTCATCAAACAAACACAATTAATGTGTTTATTCCTTTATTAAGATGTTCATGTTAATGTTTACCTTCACCGTTTCATTTAGGGAAACTCCTGAGGTAAATAAGTGATATCTCTGAACTTTAATAATAAATCTAAATAAAATGCTGCGCTTTCCACCTCCAGTCGCAATGACTTCTGGGACTTCCAGAGCGAGCTCGCTGTTGAAGTCTGCATCGGTGCGTCCTCGATATCAAGAACACATCCGGGAAGTTTCACGCGTCCTCCGTACTTGCGGTCTTGAGTATTGGAACTGAACTTAGGCAGCTGATGATGACGTTTCACGAGAACACGAGGACGCAAGACCGCTGAAGAACGCATATTGAGAAACAGCCTTGGTCCACAAACAAAAGCGAAACCTATGCTTATTGGTTGTGATATAGCGAGTTTGAACCAATCTGGGCATGGAGGAGGGACAATGCATCAATGTATCATGTCTGATTTGTCCGGAGACACAGTGACGAGCGTTTCTTTGTCAAATCAGCGTTGTCAAATGTTGATGACGTAACCGCACTGATTCCGGAGCCTCTGAAAGTCCGCGAATGTTATGTGATACAGCACTGGAAAGCTGAGACTCTCTTCTTTATGCCAATCTTTGAATTGTATGAATCGGATCAGCGGATCAAAAGTTATTAAACATTTAAGAGCAATACTTATTTTTAGCCGCGGGCGGCTGTCTCGGTCTTTAAGGGTTAAAACCGTTGATATGCAATTGTTCATGGTATGATAATCGTGCACGTTCAAATCGTGGTAAACCGTCATACCGGTATATTGTTACAACCCTATTTGTGATTGTGTACCTGATCTCCACTTTTGCCATGGCCTCTTTTGGTTTTAATAAATTTATTCTTCAGGTTTTTCCAAACCTTTTAACAAAAATTTTCTCCTTTCCCACAGCTGTTGCTATTTCTAGCCAATAATTATTGATCATTAGGTTATCTCTCTGATCACGGGTCATTAGATGTGTGTACAGTCGTACTGTTTCAGACAAAACCTCTTCAGAGTGTATCATATTTCACTCAAATCAGTTGCGGCGCCGCGCGCACTGTTTGCTCGAGTGTCAAAAAATGCTTGATGCGCAGCCAGCCGAAATCATGCCGCGCGCACCCAAAGCGAACCTCCTCAAACTCCGCGATGACGTCACATTCGCCACGCGCACTCAAGCGAACAAGCAGATGCGTCGAGTATAAACCAGGCTTCAGTCCCATAAAGATTTGTCAATACAGTCCCTCGCCATAACGTGATTCACCTTTCACGGTCTCGCAGTTTCAAATTTTTTTCAGTGCAATTGACATGTTTTTTATAGCACATTCTGTTCTGCGTCCTGTTTACGTGCTGTGTTCTGCATCCTGATTGGCTTTAGACCATTGTCAATCAATCTCCTCCGTGCCCTGTCTCCTATACACTAGAGATTGTGTTCAGCTTGCCAAATTGACATGAACCTTTAATCTCTAGCAGTGTGACTCTGAAGTGCTGTACTGTGTGTTTGCAAGTTTTCAACCACAACAAACCCCTTAATGTTGACGAAACGTTCAGCACCATCAAATACACACACAGTAGCACCCAAAAGATGAAAGTTGCTAACAATTGCATTAAAAGTTGGACTTCTCAACATGCTAATAAGACGTAGAAGTTACATAAGTGTTTAAACAAGAGTAAAGTGTGAAAATGTTAATGGCTTTCTGAAAAAATGGTGTAGTGAGTGGTTTTACAGCCTTAAAACCTCGATAATATAATAATAAAAAAAATAAAGTGGACTACTTTGTGGATTTCACCTATTAGGGGCTGTTTTTTAAAAGTATTTTTAAACGAGGGGCCACTGTAATTTATTAGTGTTTAAATATATATATATTTTACAATGGTGTATAGAAAATCGGGAAAGGTTTTTGTTATTTTTTTAAGCTTTGTGTACAGATGACCATTTCCATAGTGATCCCATTCATACAGTACTTATACAGAAAATGCTGTTATGCTTACCAAATCAGCAGTTGCAATGCCACTTTGTGAAAAATACATTTCAGCACTCATATGTGACCTGAAACCAGTCATAAGGGTCAATTTTTGAAACAGAAAGTTGCACATCACCTGATGTATATGTATATTGAATGAATAAATAGGTTTTCTATTGATATACTCTGTTAGGTAAGGTCAATGTTTGGCTGAGATACAGCTATTAAATCTGGAATCTGAATGTGAATCTGAATGAAGGGCTTAGCATATTGCACATTATTAATCCAAAACTTGGAAATCTTAACAGAACATAATATTTGTCATATAAGAACAAATCAAAAATTTATTTGACCCATATAATGCAATGCATTTCTGGATGTTTTTGGCTTTATGGTCTAGGGTCACATATAGTGCTGTATTCTGCTGTACGTCATTTTGTACACAAAATGCACATTTTTTTATTTTTATTATTTTATAAAGCTTTTTAAAAAAAACAATCTCAACTCTTTGATGACTTGATTGGGAATTGTTACTTGTGGCAATCACTTTTACTTTTAATTGATCTTGTTTGTCTTTGTCCCTTTTTAGTTTTTTATTATTTGATTTGGTTACGTCAAGCTATTAAAACGAACTTCTTGCTCTCGCTTATTCCTCTATGCCACCACAGTTTTTAACAGCTTATTTGTTTTGTTCTCCTTTACACTTTCTTTTTGATATTTGTTTGGAGTGGAGAGTCCTAACCTGCTTTAGGTTTGTTTTGGTTGTTTTTTGTTATGTTGTTGGGCTCCTCATCTCTTGTCATTTTGTATTGTTTTACTGGTTATGTCATGCTAATAAATAATTTAGTTGGAGCACTTTGGCCGTTGTTTATTTATGTTACACTGTTTTAGGATCATGAGTCGTATTTAGTTAGGTACCCTAACATAATTGGGGACTCGTCCACTTCTCTTTATAATTTTTTTACCGTTCTTTTTTGATACCAAACTTTTTTGACATTACAGAACGATAGTATGTAACGTAATAGTAGTTTGGGACTGGGAAATTACGCATGACGTGACTCGTGTCATAGGGAATTCTGCATATCGTGTCACATGGGAGCGTGTGCATGTTTGGAAACATTATGTTTCTTTTTCTTTGTTATCAACACGGTTGCTTGGTGAAGCTTGCTAGAAATGCAAGTAAGCAAAGTGTTTTGGTCACACTTTACAATAAGGTTCATTAGTTAATGTTAATTAATGCATTTACTAACATGAACAAACAATGAACAATACATCTACTAGTGTGTTTGTTCATGTTAGTTAACGTTAGTTAATGAAAATACAGTAGTTCATTGTTAGTTCATGTTAACTCATGGTGCATTTACTAATGTTAACAAGCATGGACTTGAATGTTAATAATGCATTAGTAAATGTTCAATTATGAATAATAAATGCTGTAGATGTGTTGTTCATGATTAGTTCATGTTAGTAAATGCATTAACTAATGAACCTTATTGTAAAGTGTTACCAGTGTTTCTGTATACTTTTCATTGATATCTAGCGGTTTTTACTCCCCTGATAGGCTGAAAAGGCATTGTCCTTTAAACTTTGTCTGTTTTTTGATTGTTTTTGTAGTGTTGCAAGGAGGCGCTTAGGGTTATCTGTTAACGCAGATATCTTGGGAGTTTGTCTATAAAATCTGTTATAGATTATCTCAAAATCCTTTTCTTAGACTCTCAAACTGTTGATGCCATATAAATGAATGGCCCAATTGCATAAAGTTTTCCATTGTTTATTTGAAAATGGTGTCATGCAGACTCACCTCATTCAATTCGGCCTCAGTATTGAGAAACTCTGTCACACCACTGATTAATTTTGAGTTCATAAATAAAGCTTCTCCATACCTGCGAATGAGAGACGCAAACTATTTTATTAAAAACTTTGGGGGGCTTTAATCAGCCCAGCAGTAAACAAACACTAGTAGATATTTCTCTGGTCCTCCAACAACAAACAAGAAATAACATTCACCAATAAATATCTTATGAGAGTGTGGATGTAAAATTCATATCATGGACTGAACAGAAGGTTAAATTCACTGATAAGCAGGAATGAATAGAACTACATTCACCTGGAGTTCAATATGTCCCACTTCTCTCTGAAATATCTCCATGCTAAATGTCTTCCCAGTGGATTGCGGGCCACATGTATGATGACATCAATTACATCCTGATCTGGCACCAGGTCTGATGTTAGGGACAGATTCAGGAGCCTGCAGACAACAAAACAAAATTCTGCCATACTTTAGGTACAATTTTCACTATTAACAAACTGGTAACCATGATTTTTGCTCAATAAACCCCTAATTTGCTGCTTATTATTGGTTGTTAATGTAGTATTTAGGTAGGTAGGATTAGGGATGTAGAAAAATATCATGCAGACTGTGTACTTTATAAGTACAAAAAAGGCTACATAGTCTTAAAAGGCAAGTAACAATCCACTAGTTAATTATGAAAACTGGAACTTAATTTAAAGTTTTACCCAAATGTCCTTAGTTTGTAAGAATGTAATGAAATCTTTAAAAATTATTCTAAACCAATAAGTATCGCAATCTACTGTATTTGAGCCAAATTATTGGTTGTTTTCTGCAAAACATTCACTGACAGGCACCAAAAATGCAATAATTCAAATATGTTTTCCATGCTGTCAGTCCGCATCATTAAAAAGTAATTAACCTGAAAAGCCCAAATCGAATGTAGACAGACCCATTCACTTCAAATTTGTGCAAAATGTCAAGTGGATGAGAAGGGAGGAAATAGGAAATGAGATGTTACACATAAAGACGCTGCCATGATGCACAAGTTTTCCATTTGCTAGAACATGTGAGGTAATTTCTTCACCGTGATCTTAGTTTAGCTGGTATTCCGGGACTTTGACTTGCATCTTGAAGTCACTTCTTGCAGCTTTTCATAAACACCCTAGACATCAAAGCCACTGGGATTAATCTCACATCTGTGAGTGCAAACAAGCTTTTAAAAGATTTTATTATTCATTCATTTTACTTTGACAGTCCCTTATTTATGAGGGGTCACCACCGTGCAATGAACCGCCAACTATTCCAGCACATGCTTTACGCAGCGAATGCCCTTCCAACTGCACCATGATCTCACGAGAAAACATAAGTATTTTTGTTTTTTCAGTTTAGCGGCTAATTTGTATGAATTTTTGCAGTTGTATGAAAATGTACGGTTTTTAAAAAGGAGGTGTGGCACTCAACCCTGCCCATATACCCAATCATCACTGGGTGATAAGCAAACCATACTAAATTGTACAAAATAGGTTGTTCGAATTCATACGAATTACAGCCACTAAATCGAAAAGTTACAAATTGCCTTGAAGTACAGTAGTGTTGGAAACACCCATACACTCACATTTACACACACACTCATACACTACGGCCAGGTTTGTTTACCTAATTCACCTACACCACATGTCTTTGGACTGCATGTCTTTGGGTAAACTGGAGCAACTAGAGGAAATTAATACGAACGCCTGTGGGAACATGCGAACTCCAGCCGGGACTCAAACCAGTGACCTTCTTGCTGTGATGTGACAGTGCAAGCCAACGTGCTACCCCAGAAATATTTGATTTTAATTTAGATTTATATTTAAAACTTATATTGAATTACAAAATTAATCATTGTGGTTGTTTAACATCTCTTAATATACTTGTGTTCACAACAGAGAGACTGATAAATGCACCTGTATGGATTAACAAAGTAGTATAATACTGTTTTAAGTAATTAATGTGTACATGTATGTCATAAGGGGGCCGTGGCCGAGAGCCCTAGGAATAAGCTGATGAGAATCACCTGGGTGCCACCAAAGTCTCTTTGGCTGCGCGTCCAAAATTGCATACTTCCACACTATATAGTGCGCTAGTATGCAAGCCGAGTAGTATGTCTGAATTCAACGATGCAGAAAACAGTATGCGAGGAGTACTCAGATGGCCTACTACTTGCGTCAGCTGATGTATATGTATATACAAGCATTGTATCCAATGCACCGTGAAAGAATTCATGAATTGGAGTGAATCGATGTAAATGACCTGGGTGGGACACGTGATCATGACAAAATGGCGAATGTAGTACGTCCGAGTGCCATTCATCCTACTCATATTCATACTGTATAGAATGTCGTGTATACATCCAAATTTAAATGCAGTACAGTACCTACTGAGTAGTATGGGATTTCTGACGTAGCCTTTGTGTATTATGGATGCGACCAAAGTGGATTCTGTTCACTCGGCAGCTATATTTGGAATTTTTCTGGGCAGTTCATCCAAAGTCCTGTCTAAATGAGTGGGGAATCCTGAAATCCTGAAAACTGCTTGCTTTAATTTTATAACTAAATTACGTACTTTAAATCGGTAATAAAATCTGTAGTGACCTGTTCCGTTACTTTTACTCTAATTACATTAAAAGATGTCTTTCCTGTTTGCTCCAGCTACTGTGCATGTCCAAAGATTGGCAAAACATAGATCTCATTTACCGCTGTGTCAATTGTAACCACAGGATAAATATAAATATATAAATATTAGAATAAAAGATACAGAACCCATAGCAAAAAAATGGAACATGACAATGGAAGGACACAATATGTGACGAGTTCTGCAGTCCAGTTTAAAAGCACCCACATCACTTGCCTCGCTGCATTTACAATGCTTTTGTCCTCTTATGCCATTTAATACATTTACACTTTTTGAGCAAAGGACAAAAAATTCTGCTGAAGACAGAGCTGAACATGGAAAATTAAGTATATGAGCCTGAGCCTTAAGGCACACTGGATCGCAACACTTATCAGAAGAAAAAAAGAACATGGAGGAGGGGGATACAATTTACTTCATGTCAAAGAAATCAATACCAAATGTACCCATGCACCCCATCCTTCACATTCAGTGATTGAAGCACATTTACTAGCTCACTCCATACAGGGCAGTTTTTCTCTTTGGTAGATTAAATATCAAGCACACACACACATGTGCCTGCACACACACACACACACACACAGCTCATCTGTGATGGGGGCTTTGCTTGTGCTTGCGGTGTGAAATTTAAGTGTGCCTGAAATCAATGAACTGCTGCTAAAGGTCTTCTCTACTCTTTTAAGTCTGGCACTAGAGCAAAGGTGGACATCTGAATGCTGCAGTCAAATGTCCTCCATGTTTGGGGTTCTGGATAACCCTGAATGAACTGATATTAGAGTCACTTCAAATGCAGACTGGTTCCTGATGAGATGTGTAATTTCTACTTGCATGGCTTTTCAAATGAGACTCACTATCAAGTGTGTAATGTAGACCTTTTAAAAGTTATTAGGGATTAAGGCATTACTCCTGAGACCTCATTTGAGGAAAGTACTCAGACAGTTGCACCTTTGGATCATGATCCTGATGTTTCTGAAATCACACGGTTTAGACAGCCAAGAATAAAGGGATGGAAATCCCAGTACAAATCCAATGGGACACATTAGGGCTGGTAAAGTGTGGATTCCTGTCCATTTATGCACACTGAGAGAATTACGGGTGTTCAGTAACATCAAGTTGAAACTAGGAAAGTATATGAAACTTACTGATTAGTCATTGCTTAAGTCAACTATATACTTTAAAAAGATCTTCATTATCAATTCTTAGAGAAGAGGGATTTTTGAAGTATACAGCAAATGTTCCCCCTGCATGTTGATTAGAGATAACAAACACCTTTATATCATGGAGGAATACTTTAACACAGTTTATATTCTCAGAGGACAGTCAACAGTAGATTTTTTCCCCTTTGAGCTTTGCCTCTCTTACAGGTTCTCCACACAGCAGTGTGGCTCTCACATCATGCTAATGCTATGCATTGTAGCCCTTGGTGCCAGTTTCTAATTATCACATGAGTGTTTTTTAGCGCCTGTGTTTTTCTAACAATGATGTCTGACACTTCAACACCAGCACATCACTTCTGCTGCTGTAGCGCCACATCATTTGCTAATATTCAGATATTTTGTGATGTGGAAGAAAAAATTTCAAGTTAGCAACCAGATTCAAACTACTGTACCAGCAAAAATGATCTGCCAAATGCAGTGTGTTCCTGGATCAAGATTTACAGTATGTTAAAAAGCATAGTCCTAATCAGTAACCAGTGTTGTAGTCGGGACCATTTGAGTCAAGGTCAAGACTGTGACCAAAAAAAGGAGTCAGTATCATTGTCACATTCTCTTATTAAGGATCAAGGCCAAGAATTTTGGAATCTAGGCCTACAAACCAGGTGCTGCATCAACCTAGGTGATGCAACGGCTGTCATTCAGCTTTAGATCAGCTTTAGAAAGAGTGACGAAGCCAGTTAGTAGATACTGGGATGGTTAGGAAAACACGATGGACAGAGGCCAGTGGGCAAATTTGACCAGGATACGAAGAATTTTCTAAAGAAATCCTGACATTTTTATTACCTCAAAAAACCAACCTTACCTGAACCTTAACTCAAACTTAAAACTTTTTGATCAAAATCTTAATTCAGACCCAAGATTATTTTGGTTTTGACTATAATATTATACTATACAGTTTGTCCTTCTCACTATACTAGGGCACAAGGACCACAGGGTGAGCACTACCAGCTGGCCTCACTAGCACCTCTTTCAGCAGCAACCTAATTTTCCCATGTAGCCTTTCATCCGGGTACTAACCAGGCACAACCCTGCCTAGCTTCAGTGGGCAATCATGTGAAAGCTGCAAAGTGCTAGCTGCCTTAACCCTGTTCTAACAGCCGATTCAAATGTTATCACTCTATTAAATTGGCGTTATCAAATTGGTGGTTATCAGCTGATGGATATGGCCCAGTTGGGGCCTTCTACGCCTACTGGTAAGCTCAGAAAGCTGTTATCATCCATCCACATGGTTAATCATCTATAGATCACATACAACTGTGACCGGAAGTTAACGAGAATTATTTTAATTATTTATTCAATTTCCCATTAATTATATTTCATTAACATCTACCCCTACCCCAACCCTAAACCCAATTGTCACAGTAATGTAAATCTGGATCTGGAGTCTTCTCTATTAGTGTAGTTGGTTGACTCTTTAAATGCCTGCGTTGGGTGCTAATCACGTCATGGCCCTATAGGAGCAGGTGAGATTTCCATCTCTGGTTGGCATTTTGGTGTTTTGACCTGTTGATAGGACTCTCTCCACTAGCCTTCCAGTGAGTAAAGCATGTTGGAAACCGTGAGTAAAATGAAATGGATTATCAATCGGAAAATTATCTGTCGGAAATTAACTTGATTAACTTGGCTGGTTCATGGTGTACATGTATAGCTAATTCCAAAGGTTTGTCTTCTGTGTTAGGGTATATGTAAGAGAAAAGAGTTGTAAGGATTTGTTGTTTTGCAGAGTCTGCTAGCTGCTGCTTTGCTGTTTCTTAAGTGGCATTTGGTCTTATTCGGAAGCGTTATTTCCATCTGTGCGTGTTTTGTAATTCGAACGTAAGCACCTCGAATTCCACATCAATGGTGGCCAATTCATGTGCGCTGGCTTTGTATGATTTACACAAGTCTTTAAACCACCTGTGTGCGTTGCTGTCGGAAACAAACGTGTGTTTGTGACTTTCTCTAATTGGGTGATTTTTGTATGGATTGTTGTTATTATTTAGTTTTGTATTCTTTCCTTCTGCATGTGCTGTTAATATTGTTAATTTTTTTTTATTTTTCGTTATTTTTTTTGAGAAGTGGGTGTCATTGTTATTGTTGGTGTCATTATTGCCAAATCGGAACCAAGGCTTTTGTGTGCATTTTATAATTTGAATTTTGTGGTTGGTGGTGTTTACAATTTATTATATTTACTTTCCTTGGGTTTGTGATTTTGTTCTCAATGATTATGAAATATATGTAGTTGTTCCCATTTGTGTATTATTATATGCTAGAGTGAAACACATTGAATAACAACAAATAATAACAACTGATAACTAATCTCATTTCTGTCTGGTTGTGTGCGGGATTTATATTGGTATAGACTTTTTTGTTATTGTATTGATATTGTCTTTGATTTTTTTTCTTGTATTTTTCTTTCTGTTGTATTGTTCTAGAATAAATACAGATATCTAGTTTTAATAATTTGGTTTCTGCTGTTTGTGTATGGGATTTATATTTTGTATGGACTTTTTGGATATCATATTGATCTTGTCTTTATTATTATTTGCCTGTGTTTGTATTTTCTTTTTTTATTGATGTATTTTGTTCTAGATTAATAACAGCCATACATTGGTCTATTATTAACTTGTGGGTATAGTGTTTGAAGAGTAAGCCCTAAAGGGTACATAATTGGTAAACTATCCTTAACTGGTGTTTTTGCCACTAAAGGATTTTTTTTCAATTAGGGGAATATGTTATTGTGATGTTGAGCCCAAGGTTTTAAATAGTAAATGTAAGAAATAAAATTAAACATTTTTAATCTGTTAACTCTGCTTGTCACTGTCCATTAAGTAAGAAAATTACCATTGGGGAGAACATCGTAAGGTTGGACATAGGGGCCTTGAGGGCTGTGCTCCCTTCACCTTTTATATTAGTACAGCTGATTAACCTTGTGGTAGGATGATAACAGCCTTCTGAGTCTACCAGTAGGCACAGAAGGCCCCTACTGGCCCATATCTATTAGCTGAAAACCACTGATAAAGCCGATTCAATCGAGTGCTAACATTCAAAGTGGATGGTTCTCAGACTTGAATCCTAACACAAACCCAACACTCTTTTGACCAAGATCTTCATTCGGACTTTACTTTCTTCTGGTTTTGATCCTGACTCAATTCCTTTATGTAAACTTAATAAATTTCTGGTCTTGAACGTTGACTCAGATATGAGTCAGATTGGACTTGATCCTCTTTTGGTCTCAAACCCATACCTGCCAACACTGCAATTTTTTCTTTGAAGTCTCTCGTATTTCTCACCCATTTTTACACCCATCTTATTTAAAACCCATCATTTTATAGCAGAATGGGGGCTCCAAAGTATCTGTTAAATGTAGGATTCAGCTGCTTCACTTTAATGTGCTGTATTTTGGTTTGGTTTACAGAGAGCGTGTAAGCCTCATTGATTTTACCTTCAAGGAAGGCAATTACCAGCATCCAAAAAAATGAAAAGTATCCTCACTGACTGTAATATGATGAATAGTATCTAAACATGAACAAAATGAAATCTAAATGTAGAGCACTGAAATGTGTACTTGCTAAATGTGGCTCTATTTGTCTTCCCCTTCTAGCAAGGCAAGATCCCTCTCCACAATCTCATGCTGAAGATTCCCACAGGAATCCGCCTGTTGAGTGCTGAACACTCACTGCAGAGAAGGGTCAGAGAGGGTCTCTTTATATGGCCAAGTTTCTTTCTCTCTGTGCATCTATAAAACAACAAACTGCAACTGAATAAATGGAGATGTCACACCAGCAGTGAATCCTCAGAGAACTGCTTCAGAATTTGTGTGGGCTGTGAGATCCTCGTCTGGTCTGGACAGGGTGTAATCCGTCACCGTCCTCATCCTGCTATTGAGTCGGCAGGATTTAAGACACCATGGAGATTTGTGGAGAAAGCTCCTACAGCAGCCATTGTCTTTACTGCCCCATCAGAGGAGTGAGAGTCACTCTGTTGCTGTGAGTGGCAGGATGTGGAGGACTGAAAAGGATTACTTCATGAGGTACAGTAGACTGCAAACTAACAAGTTGGTTATAGTCAAAGTGGAGCTGTACATGCTCCAGACACCTCCAGATACTCCTTGCATTCACTTAAATGACAAAAACTTTATGCAGAAGTGAATAAAATGGTTGGTGCATCCAGGGGTGGAAGTTTCTTCTAACAGCAGGGGGACGGAAAACATAAAACATTGTAAGAGTGTCTTAAGGGGGACAGAAATAAGAAGACTGAAATTACACATTAAAGTTTAACCTCTCCAATTCAATAGCTACAATACTGTTCCAAGTATGTGAAAAAGTGGAAAGCAGGCATATGTACCAAAGCAATGCAGGGGAAAGGAGAGGGAGACTCAACAATTTCTAAACCTGTTTGCGTTTGTGTTGATTTACACATTTCTAAAGGTATAAAATTGACACATTATTGAAAGTATAACACATTGTTATTTATCATTTTTAATAATAGTTTTGGGGGGGGGGCAAGTTTGACAACCTTTAAGTGGGGGTAGGATTGGGGTATTGGGCTGGGGGGCCTGTCCCCACCGTCCTTGGGATTTCCACCAATGCATGGTACAGAGATGTCAAAGATTTTGCAAAATTTTAATTTATTTAAAACTAAGTTTAAATTTGCTAATAAATGCATCATGCTACATAATCTTATTAGAAATTTTATTATTATTATTATTATTATTGTTATTGTTATTGTTATTATTGTTATTTTACAGTGTTGCAGTGTTGGTTGACCTGTTAAGCAGGAAGATGTTGTCACTGCAGGTCAAGGCCTCCAAAAGAACCTTCTTCTCAGAGACGGCTGTAGACGAGTGAAACTTCATCCAGATAAATTCCCACACATCCTCATCCATCAGAGAAACACCTGTGCAGTACACAATGTCCCGGACGTTGGGTGGAATCCTGCGAGACAGAAGATTGAATAACTGAGTGAAGACAAGAGCTGAAAACACATTTATAGTTGGACACATCTAGAGGTAAATACCAAAGTAGAGCCAACTGTACTGAATTTCTTTCACACAAATATGTAGATTAATTTTTAGAGTAGAAGGGAAAAAAATGTGAAGAATTCTAGCACTTGACATTGCATTCTTTAGGTAATGAGCATTCCTCAACGTCTTTTTATTAAATACTTACTGAGAGTTACTGTAGATTCACAAGTTTTAGATTACATTGTGTTCACGGCTAATTCTTATTTAAATTCCTTGGAATTAGTGTTTTCTGAAGATATGTTTTTTTCACAGGAGTCAGTGAAGTTCCTTGGGATTGTTCAAAGATAGCAAATCACAAGCCAATCTTTCACCTCCAGAAGAATCAGTGAAAAACAGCGTGAGTGTATGTCTGCAAGTTTTTATTAGTTGTACTTTTATTTGCAGTTTCTTTTTAAAAGTGTTTTTGCTGTTAATTGATGTTGAATTAAGGCACATTTACTGTACATTCAAAATAGACAAGTTGGGACAAAAAAGAAAAAAAAAAATATTCTTTTAAAAATACATAGACATTTAGGCTGTCTGCATTCACTTTTAATCCCTTGAATTCTGTCAGAATGATAAATGTCCATAACAACACAAGCAGATCTAATTTGATGATCTTTTATGCGGTTATAAATTGAGTGGTGAAAATTTGCCCCGAATTCTCACTCCAGACCTTCAAAAGTAACTCATAGTGCAATATATATATTCTGGCGATATATCGGTCATAAGAAAGAGCTCTCTGTGGACCCATATAATGATCTGGTTATAAATCTGAGAAAAGAATAGCAGAGTTTAGTGGAGCTACACGGAGAGAAAAGCATCTCAGGCTGTGAGGCGATGCATGTAATATTCGTACAGAAAGAAATAACATTAAACCTCAGGAGGAGCTGCGCCGATACAGTGACTGAACTTTTGATTTGCTCAAACAAAGCGCAATAAAGACCTGCTGATTCTGGATGAGCCGTCTGAGCCTCTGGGAGTTTTGAATGTAGCGAAACCAAGAACGACACCTTCAGTTAGATATGAAATCTTGTCACATCCAATTGGAGTGTATAGACTGAAATGTTCACACCTGAGAAGGTGATGTCTTGTTTATGACTGCCAATGGCAGGATGTTTTACTGATTTTCAAAACATAGTTAGAGAATAATATTTGTGACCTCCCGTTAGCTGCCATTATATCTGGAAAATTCAGAATTATAATATGTTGAATGAGAATAGGAGACAGCTTGAGTCATAAGTCATAGTCTCGTATCTAGTATTTTACTAGTATCTGAGCCTTTATTGCTTCAAACAAGGCTAAAATTGTGTTATTTAGCTTGAGCAGTTTCTGTCGTCTTAATATTCAGATCTATTGTCTTGTTTTGAATCAATAAAACACATGAGGATGTTTTCTCAGCATTTGACTTTTGCTGTACAGTGAACTGAAGCCTCTCTTTGCAGCTCATAAACTCTGCTAGGTCATTCCTGTGACATTATCATCACCTTAACCATAAAAAGACATAAAGGTCAAACACATTGCTCTTTTATGATGTGCTCATTCCTGAATATCAAGCTGAACATCATCTTTTTATTATCCCAGCAGGACTAGAGGTCATTGGTGAAGAAAGGACACTAAAGGACACATCTGGCAGACCAAAACTTCAGCTGGCAGGTCAGAGGCAAACCACACAGTGTAAACAATACAGTCCACAAGTATCAAAAGGAAGATGTAACTAATAACACAAAATTACTGCAGAAGAAAGACATCACCATTTTTCTAGCAGGTGCATGCGTAAAGTAATATCTTACCATCTGTTGAGTTTGACATTTGTACACATGCAACTAAAGCATTTTTAATAGTCGTTCTGGAAAAAAGTATCCCCTAATTGCCTCAAAAATGAAAATATCTCAACTTTCATCTTTCTAAATGTCTGCCAGTGGATTAAACTAAACTCACTTGATGACCGTCCAGTAGGAAGACAGTTGTTTAGTACAGAGACTACTCCACAGGGTAATAATTAGAGCCACTGCTAGAGCAATTGAGCAGTTTCAGGGCAAAAGAGTGTAACATCTTTGACTTAGCAGGTCAAGCATTGGTTTATTTCACCTGAGGGTGTATTTCACATGTTAAAAGCAAAAATATAAGTAATAATTTGTTAATGGAGCATTTCATTGCTATCACAGAGACTCAAGTCACATATGCAACCTCAATAAATTGTTAAATACTCATTATATGTAGCTAAGGTCAACATGTGATGCATATTATGAGAATAACAGCATCTGTGTCTAGATTTAAGGTCTAGCTGTCAATTTTAGGTCACGGTTTTGAAGCTAGCAAGCACATTTCAAATGCGCTTGAGGTTGCCAATGTGAATAATATGAACTGTGTGTGTGGCCTTTCATGTATTTATAGGCATGCGGCCAATAGTTTGGCTGAGGGACAAAAAATATTCCTAAAAACTGAGCAAACACAATATCTTGTTCAGGCTAACATGAGTTCTTCAGATACACAAACATACACCCACAATTGTGTTTATTTTTCAATATGGTCATTAGTCCCTGCCGGTGGCCTGGGGTTTTTGCCAGTGTGATATTGCATGCAGTACATGCATGTGAACATTGCTGTGGGCAGCAGGGAAAACAAATTAGATGAACAAATGCGTGTTGCCATGGACACCTGGCACAGAAATCATACTGTATGAATTTTGAGGGTTGAACATATTAAACAGTAACCAATCATTTTTTTTTTTGTGTGTGTGTGATTAGACCAAGCAGGAATCGGTCTAATACAGTAACTTTTAAGTTTGAAACAAATTTGCTTGCTAAATGAATTAGGTAATATTTAAGGACAGTGAGCAGAATCACTGAGCTTGAATATAAGCTATGCTGTAAATTTGCTCACCTGTTCTTGTTGCTGGAAATCCAGTCAGAAATGAGAGAAACAGCCTGGCGGTGACAGTGTTTGTTTCCAAAACTGCAGGCCAGCATGATCACCTCTCTCTGTAGCTCTCTAAGGAGGAAAGAGGGCCGGAAACCAGCAGGAAAGTACAGGAGAAGGAAGGGGAAAATTAAAAATTAAATACACATCTGCTGAGGTCATTCCCTTTCTTTGAGGAGGAAAATGTGTGGCTTACATTTTGCAGTGCCCTTACTTCAACTACATATACGTTTAAAACGGCAATATATAATTCAGGAAAGATGAAATGCAAGACTTACTCTGTCTGATAAGCTGAATGCATCAAGGAGCCGTCAGGGGAAGTGGCTGGCCAGCCAAGCTTGTGATACTTTGGTTCCACCTGTCTTAGTACATAATCCTGAGAAATTAAACAAAATGCAAAGCAAAGCAAATCATTAAACCATGATACAAATCAAAGCAAATCAGTATGTCCGGACAAATACTTAAACAAGATTTGACTAACAGAATTTGCAGACTTAAAATGGAGATAAGTTGTATGTCCTATTGTTTTTTTTTTCTTCTATAATATATGTGTGCAAAAATCCTCATTATTCAGAGATCTCTTCATTCACTAATGTAGTGAAATTGTTGAAAACAGACTAGTTAGCCAGACCTCACTAGTTAATGAAGCATATATATCAGCGTAATATGTTTATAGTCATGAGCGACATTAGGGGCGCCATCATGGAATACCAGTCATCAGAAAGGCAGCCAATCATTGCTCAGCAGTTGTTGGTTGTAGATTTGAAAGCGTTCCCTAGAGCATATGAAATCCGTGCCAATCAGCTGGTCCATCAGCAGATCACTCATATATGTGCATAGTTCAGCATATAGACTGCCAAAGTGATTTCACCAAGTAGGACATGTTCCTACATCAACATCTATGTTTATCCTGAAACAACATTCCAATCAGCCAATCAGAATTAAGGCATATGTTTTCTGTTTATGTTAAGTTTAGGCTTACGGTTAGGTTTTTTATACTACATGATTGTTATCCAACTAATGGATTTGGTTTTGGGAAAAGTTTACAGTTATGATTGGGTTTAGGGGTATGGAATAACTATGGATTACATTTTCTAACAAAAACTATGTTCCAGGATCAACATAGATGTTAATTTAGGATCACATTGGCAAAATCATGACGTCCGCTTATTGACCTTATTCTAAAATGCGAAAGTGCACCTGTTTTTGAGATTGTTTTAGAACTTCTGATTTAGTTGCCTATGGCAGTGGTTCTCAAAGTGGGAGTCGGGACTCCTCGAGGGGTCGCGGGACAATGAAGAAAACACGGCTCTCTGCAAGAAAATTTTGAATCAGAGAGGGCTAAAGTTTGAAAGCTTAGTGATTTTGATTAGAAGTGCAACAGTTCAAGATAAAATAATAAAATAAGCATAATAATTGAACTGTATCATTCTTCGCCCACATGTTGTCACATTCTTGTCATACATTTTATAAAGAATGACAACACATCTAATCTGCAACCAAAAATCTGTACTCTGTATACCCAACCAACTGCACAAACACAACAATGAGAACTCAACACAAACACACCGTGAGTCACCATTTGTAAACAATGTTCAGTCAGTGTGTCGTGTTTAGTCATTCATGCCATTTTAACTTTACTACTACTAGTAGTAGTAGTAGTAGTAGTCGTTGTTGGTGTAGTAGTATCAATAGTAGATGTTGTCGATGTAGATCTTGTAGTAGCAGTGATTGCTGTAGTAATATCAGCAGTAGTAAATGTTGTTGTAGTAGTATTAGTTGTAGCAGACGCTGTAGTAGTATCAGTAATAGTAGTTGTTGTAGTAGTATCAGTATTAATAGACATTGTAGTAGTAGTAGTCATGGTTGTAGCTGTAGTAGCAGCAGTTGTAATATTAGTAACTTTCTGAAGTAGTAGTTGGTGGAGCACTAATAACTTACTAGTATTGTTGTTGTCAGTTATTATTACTATTGTCCTTTCTTTCTTTTTACTGTCATTATTACTATAATACATTACTTTTATCATTGTTACTTCTTACCACTGACTGGTTTCTTTCTATCTGTTTTATTAAAATCTGTGATACTTGCTTTATTTATTGACTGTTATTGTCCCTTATGTATGTACTCTAACCTGTCCCAGTTAGATTTACATGCACACACACACACACGCACATACATGCACCTACCAGTACCTGACTATTGTTTTTTTGTGTTGTCGGAAAGAGAAAGTTTGCTTGATTTGTAGATTGTCTTAAAAATATATTTTAAATACCTGAAAAACCGGAAAGCAAATCAGGTTATTAGTATGTTTGCCATATTGTGTTCATCTGTGCTTTTGCTTGTAGATATATTTTTTCTTTACCTATATTTGACATTGTCCAATTTTGTTTACTGAACATATTGTATCATATACAAAACCGTCGAAACTGTGACCCTAAAAGAATGATACCAGCCGATCCATGAGCAATCTGTACCATTGCATCAGTACAAGATATTAGTATTCATGTCAGTGAGGCTCTTTAATGTGTTGTTGAGTAGTTTACACATAAAGATTGCTAGGCACGAGTTTGTTAACTTGCTAATCAAGTTTAAATCCTGTAGTGGGATTTAAGGTAGGATGTTGTTTTAATACTTATTTATATTTTCTAATTGATATATGTTTTGCTGATGGAGGTACAAAAAGACACTACATTTTTTGCAGATTTGTTGTCTTGCCACCCCATATTTCTATAAGGGAACGTAGGAGTAGGTACTGATTTACTAACCTGATAGAACAATCAATGAAATCAATGAAATGTCTGTTATAGTAAAACAAGTGTGTGCTTGTGTCTCTGTTTGACTCTCCATATGGTGAAGGGAAATGTCGCAGCAGGTAATGTCATGGCTAATTTAGCATGACTGCTCTCCTTCATGCCCTCTTACTGAGACCAGTGAATGATCACAATTAGAGCCTGCTATGCAGCAATTCAATTCTTAACACATTCTTACAAAAGCAGGCAAAGGACATTGTTTTTTAATATTGTGGTGACGGTAGAGCTGATTATGAGTGTTTGTCAAGCTGTTACTGCAGCAATTGAGTAATGTGTCATTGTTTTGTCTCAGATTTGATGAATGATGACACTGTTTGTGTGTAAAAAGACTAAAATACACTGGCCAACATACAGGCTCAGATTGACACCTAGTCACATGATTAGATGACACCTGACTAAACTGCTCCAGCTGTTTCCTGTCTTGAATTACATCCAAAACATCTGCTGTATATCACAGTCAACGGGGTAAGGAGAGCCACAGAGACACGTTTAAATTCATCACACACTCACTGTGGACACTAAAGGCTCATCCATTGCAGAATAGGGAAAGAAATGACTCATGCACACCAAAAGATTGGGGGTAGGTGTGCGATTGAGGTTCTGAATAAAAAAAGTGGAGTTTGAAAGCAAGCGGACAGGTAAGATAGAAGCCACAAAAACACAGAAAGACTCTGAAATCATATCAAACTACACTACCTGTTTTAGGAACAACAAATAATAAGTTGTCTTCTAGTTGATCATTTGCTATCAGAAGTGGCTTATATGAAAGGCAATGGCCTCTAGATTACGCTTATTTGACCAAAATTATATATGTACATGCCTTGATTTTTAATTATTTAATTAGGACAGTAAGGTCTGACTTTGCTTAAACAAAAGTCTTGTCAATTAACAGAAATATTGTACACTATAGAATATAAAGTCATGGTGCAGTGGAAAAAGAATAACTATTGTGTATGAATCCCTAGAGCTTGGAGGAATGCATCCATACATCTCTGCAATGACTCAAATAACATATTAATAAAGTCATTTGGAATGGTAAAGAAAGCTTTCTTGCAGAGTTCATCAGGATTCTTTGGATTCATCTTCAATGCCTCCTCCTTTTTATTTTACCCCACAAAAGCTTAATAATGTTCATGTCTGGTGACTTGGCTGGCCAATTCAGGAGCACCTTGATCTTCTTTTCTCTCAGGAACTTTGATGTAGAAGCTGAAGTATAAGAAGTAGCGCTATCTTGCTGAAGAATTTTCAGTTTGTAATGTAATGGGCAGCACATATATCTCGACTCCTCAGGCATGTTGATATTGCCATCTTCTCTGCTGATCTTTCGCATGCCCCCATACCGAATGTAACCCCAAACCATGATTTTTCCTTCACCAAACTTGACTGATTTTTGTGAGAATCTTGGGTCCATGCGGGTTCCAATAGGTCTTCTGCAGTTTAACAGATGATTCATCAGAAAAAATCTGCCACTTTTACAAATGATCAACTAAAAGTCAAATTATTATTTGTTGCTCTGACAACTGGGATCAACAACAAGACTTTTGTCAGGCAGTGTACATACTGCACAGTATACATTTTTGGTCCTCTAAAAATCAATGTTTTGTTTGATGTTTAGCAAAATTTCAACAGAAACATGAAAACAGGGTGGCAAATAGAGTAGCTCCACCCCTTTTTAACAATCCAGCAGTGTTTCATTTATGTCACAGCTCTGCCAGTCAGAATAATTAAATTAATGCATATCTGACTCATGACAGCCACAATTTATAATAGTCATGCTGAGACTATCTGATCCTTTCTCTTCTTTAAAATGTGACATTATGTTTTACTCAAATGGATCCAAAATGTTTTGTGGTCCTGGCTGATTTGCACATGTGGCATAGGTCTGTGGTGCCGATCATGCCGATCAAGCAGATCATGTAACTATGTGCTGCAGTGGTTCATAAGATATTGAAACATGAAACAAGACGTCATTTACCTCATGGAACCATATTTACACTGTCCAAATTGCTTTCCCCCCTATAATAAACGGTGAATCTCCTTGTTGAATACATTGTGTTTTGCCTTTTTGGGGCTTGTCGTAGATAAGTCATTGTTTATACACAATACATATTTCAATGGGATGTTTTGTAGCTTCTTCCCCTTTTTTAAAAAACTGTCAATAGCATTTTGTTTTTATCACAGCTTTGCCAGGGAGAGTGGTTAACATTTGCCTGCTGTTGGGGATGTTTTTATCCACCCTGGGGCGATTTTAGGTTTTAATTTGGCAACAATGTTCTCTAATTCATAAAAAAATGGAATGATTTTTGGTGACAAATCTTATTTTGACACATATTTTGAAAAAATGCTTTGGAGTTATCAAAAACTCTTCACTCTGGGCAACTTTACTTCCCTTTCATTATGTTAGTGACTGTTTTTGCTCCATTGACATACAATTTTAACTATATTTATGCATGCACATTTGTTGTTTTACTTCACAGAACTTCATTTAAAAACCAAAAAACCTGTTTTGGCACAGGTGTATCTGAAGAGTTAATGGTGCCAACTAGTGATCAACAATACAAATGACTTATTTTACCTATTCCTAATAGGGAAAAAAAAAAACACAAACAATTAAAAATGTTGTCATGGCATTGAAATAAAAAATAATGTTATAATAAAAGTCAGTGGGGCAAACGTAGCCAATAACATAACAAAAGTAGTCAGGACATGTCAAATACTAGAGAAAAAATTATTAGTCAAAAGATTTTAAGAGTGATAAAAATGTACTTTGAAAAGTAAAACTGTAAGCTTTGATCAAGAAACAAACTTTCTCTGAACACAATGTGGCTATTTTTCCTATTAGCTAGAACATGACAGTTTGATTAATGGATATTTAAAAGTCAATATTAGTTTTTGGTTATATTTAGTATTCTTTTTATAGTGATATTGGACATTATATATCTAAAACTTAAATGTGGTATGCTGTTTAAGTCTTGGAGAATGCTGGACACATCCTACAACTATGGATGATCGAATTTGCAAAAATATTGGCATAACAGCAGAAATAGTTTGAGTAGTATGATAGTACAATATCCTGACAGATAGAGTGTATTCCCTGAACTATGTGTAAGGGTGTTTGACCCCCAAATGCCAGTTTGTTTGACAAGTGTGAGCACTCTGGTTTGATTGGAGTGAACATGAAGTCTTAGATTCGAAATCACTTTTTCGAATCATTCAATATGGATTTATAACTCATTCTTACCAAGTAAATGAACTGCACTTCACTGCACTTCAGCGTCAACATCTCAACTATGTTAATATGTGCAGCATGATGTGTTGAAAATGTATAAGTTACAGGAGTGGTGGATCTGTTCAGCAATCTATTTGGTTGCGTCTCACTGCATCCCAAATGATTTAAAATAAAACACCACAATTTATTTACAGCAATGTACTCTATAGCAATAAACGAGAGCCCTTCTCTATATGCTTTCCCATAGGAATTGTATCATAATGATGCATAAGTCTTCATACTTGGAAAGCAAAGTACAGCGTGAGTGCAGTATGGTTGGGCAGGGTGGGCAATTGATTCCTGGCTCGATTTAAAGCAACCTTGCCTAGTGTGAATACACCTTAAAACACAGCTAGTGGTTATGTTTTGGGGTGCGAAATTGCCATTTTGTTTAGAAACTTTGTGGACTGGATGATGATCAGTTTTGATTGACAGTTTTCAGTTTTTTGATTTCCTTGGTTTTGGATGATGATCAGAGGAAGTTTGTTTTGTCTGTCTTGTGGCAGTCATTTAAGTCATGCTGCTTGATATCAGCTGTATCTCTTATCAGACTAGACAAGGCTAAAACACAACATTCATTAAACTGATGTAAGTTCAGACTCACGCTGAACAGGCTGTGGTCTAAAGTGCGGTCCAGGAGTTTGTCCAACTGGTAAAGCGCTCGACTAGCAGCGTGCCAGGGCAGAAACTCGGTCTCCTGAGACAAATAGGAGATCATCTGCAGGGGGACGTTTTGGGGCAAATATCCAGCTCTGAGGAAAAGAAAGACAAATTTTAACTCATATTACCTCTTTGGTTGGCACATTGTTAACATTTGATTACAAACAGTTCATTTTGTTCATCATTATTCTTTTGGAATAACTGCCAGGCATTGTGCTTTGCGTGGGGAGACATAATGTGCTGAAAGAATCAAAAAAAGAAAAAACAGCTTCTCCTGTATGGCTACAGTCATGTTCAGTTTGCATAAATCCATAAAACATAAGCTCTCTTCTAAAATACAGACATGAGCATTAACAGCACACATTGACTGTCATTTAGAGTAGCGCATCAAATCCCAGATGTGTTACAGCAGGACCTTGGGCTCTAGTCAAATGAGATCGTGTTTCTAGGGCACACATCGGTGCCTTCTTCATTTATTTTCATTCCACGTTTCTTACCGACTTTCCCCTTCAGTCTTTTTAGAAACTCCCACAACTTTCCCACGAGAGCTGAAAAAGTGAATGTGGCCAATATCCTCAGAGCAGAAACGCAAGAGAGACTAGATTTCCAAGATTCTTGAAAGAGAATGCTTAGGTTTTTTTCTTTTTTTTTTTTCCGGCTAAGGCTCAGAATTGGAACACTTTAGCAGCCACATAGCATTCTGGAGACCTAAGACAAGATAGAAAGAAGTTATCTGCATCACAAATACTTCAAATACACTCTGAGGAAAGTTTCAGATTTACATTTATGCATTTGGCAGACCATTTCATCCAAAGAAATGTACACCATGTAAGAGGTATACATTTTTATCAGTCCAACTATATTGACTATATTTGCACAATCCATGCAGGATTAAAACAGTTGACTCTGGTATGGGAGGGCAATCTCATTGGCTGTTCTGCTATGAATTAATGCACAAGTACAACAATTTATTTACTTACTCTTAGGGCTGTTTATATTGAAGTTGATATTTAGCCGCACCATGTTTGTGTTTCGTAACATCAAATTTTATGAGGTAGGTCGCAAACACAGAGAGAACATGCAAACTCCACACAGAAATGCCAACTAACCCAGCCGGGGCTCGAACAAGCAACCTTCTTGCTGTGAGGCAACAGTGCTACCCACTGTGCCACCATGCTGCCCCCAGATCAACAACTAAAGTGACAAAACTAGGTGAACAACATAGGTCAAGAGGGAATTTCTTTGCATATGTTACATATTTGCAAATGATATAGATGATCAGATTATCAGACATATTTCCACAAGTGAATCCCTTTGTGGTGAGTGAGAAGTTCTGTGAAAATGCTGCTTAAATGTATATGTGCAGCAAAAGCTCTGACAATACAGATTAGTACCACCTGCAGGAATAGAAAGATATTGTACATCAGTGGTGCCTAACCCCAATCAACTGGTACTGGGGAGGAAATCATTAATTTTTTCAATTTTATATTATCTGAGTCTAAATCTTTTATTTCGAAAAATGACCGTATTCTTGTGGCTACATCTCAGTCACGTGAGCGCCAAAATTTAATCCACAAGCTAGCAAAATGAGCAAGAAACAGACGTCTTTGGAAAAGTTTCTTTGCAAAGAGGAAAAGCCCTAGTGAAGGACCCACAAACTGTCAAGAAATGGATCCGCAACCCATTTGTCACCAAATCAGGTGAATCCAGCTTGTCTGTGCAAGACGATCAACAGCTGGAGATCGCAAATGATGTCGGCTATTCACATATTCTGTTTTTTTCTGTGCGCAAGTTTGTTTATTTTAATGGTGCACTCGCTCGTGCATTCAAGGTGCACCACCCAGTTAAAAACATCTTTAGAATACCACAAGCACACGGCAAGTCACTTGACAAGAACTGACTGATCAGCTTTATATTTCGTATGGACTATACACATTTCGGTAGACTCATTATCTCAGGCAAACATTGCAGTGGTTTTTAATTTTCTACTAAAGCTTGTATCAGAGTTGCAGCAATTTTTTTGTCAGCTTATCATTCTCTGTGAAAATGCTTTATAATCAACTAGCAGTCTATGTACACCCACCACCTGCACAGCAAATTTTAGATAGTAGATTTAACTACCTTAGAGTTAAAATTAACACTCCCTCAGAGTTTATATGGGAACCACTATAAGTGTTAAAAATAACACTTTTGAAAGTGTTAACATTGTCAACACCAAGAGAGTGTTAATTAGCAAACTCTTATTGTGTAAAATATCTGTTAAATTTCCGAAAAAATACCAGCAGCTGTGGTTGCCAGAATCTTTCTGTGAAAAACATGGAAGTTTTATATAACTGTATAAATTTACAAAAAATAACCATATTTCATGAACTAACACAATGTTCAGTTTACAAAATTATAGCTTAGTGCACAAAAATGTAAAGTCTTTAGATGCAATAATGTTTTCATGTGTGATTGCTAGTTAGCAAACAGATTTTGACAGCATTAGTAACTACACAGTTACCTTTAAACAAAAGAAGATGCAGCATAACATCAAATACTCTCAGTTCATCTTGGACTTGAACAGAGACATATTATCCTCCACAATGGTGACACAAAAACCGTTTTGCTGTTTTTCTTTTTTTTTTTCATTTTTAGATTTTACGTAAAAATACCAGCAGCTGTGGTTGCCAGTAATCTGCTGTTTTTCACATTCATAAATTCAGTTTACAGAATATTTCTGTTAAAAGTTCATTCAACAGTCTGTATTTTTTATCGATCTCACACTGCAAATTTTAGATTTGGTAGATTTAACTACCTTAGAGTTAAAATTAACACTCCCTCAGTGTTTATATGGGAACCACTATAAGTGTTAAAATAACATTTTTGAAAGTGTTAAAATTTTTAACACCCAGAGTGTTAATTAGCAAACTCTTATTGTGTAAAATATCTGTTAAATGTATGTCAAAATACTGGCAGCAGTGGTTGCCAGTAATCTGCTGTTTTCAACATTTTACATTCATAAATTCAGTTTCCAGAATATTTCTGTTAAAAACAAATCCCACAGTCTGTATTTTTCATTCGAACACACGTAAGCCTTAAATTCCAGAGCAAAATCCTCACTAGTGTCCTCACTACAGAGGGCTGAACACTCAGACAGTGATGAAGTTAATGAGACAATTATGTGTCTAATTAAAGGAGGATTGAGAATTATTGATGAACAACTGTTAACAAGCAGAATCACTGAAGGACAGAAAAACACAAGCCAAAACCAAAGATGAAATCAACTGAGAAAAAAAACTCTAAATAAAATAATAATCAATAAAAATAAAACAAATTACACAATAAAAATTTTTATTTTTCAACATCTTTAAAAAAAACTCATCAAATTAAACAACTTATCATGGAGCTTCACCTATTACTGACCTTTGACTTTATTTCTGTCATGTGAACAAAAGCTCTTAATGAAATTTCTGTTGTTCATTTGAAGTCACCATGATGGAGGACAGAGTCTGCTTTAGTCAGGCTCTTTAACTTCTTACTATAAATGTCTTTAATTTTGGCTGCTATAGATAGTGTTAATTACGCTATTTAAACATATAGCATGGAAAGCTGAAAGAAAATTTAAGATTCAGTCTGAAGAGATTATTAATGGTATTATAGCCTTCCTTTTCTGCTTGTTTTCTAATTCAGTATCATATTAGTTATGTGTGAGAAATAAAAAATATACATAAATGAAACCACTGAAGCTCCAATAAAATAAAATTAAACCACCATTTAAAATGAGAATGTTTGATCTATGGCAGAACTCAAAAACACCCAGACATCAATAATTAGTCTTTGAATCTCAATGATGGTGACAAACAAAAAAATAAAAATCAAGTAAAAAAAAACACTACTGAAATATCACCTCCCAAAAACAACACAAAATACAGGAAAATAAAGAGGTTGTAAGAACATAAAGCTGCATAATTTATTCATGCTGCAATGCATGCTGGGAGCTTTGTACTATGCTGGCACCCAGCATGCATTACGGCATGAACTATGCAGCTTTTTTTTTTTTTTTTAGCAACCACGGTTGAGGTTCATGTCCTGATTCTTGATGCCTGTGTATCATAAAGAGCAAGCTGGAGCTTGAATGTTTATTGAATGACACTCTAATTATTAATTGCATCCTAATTGTTTGTTGAAGTTTCTATGAAGAATAGCCGACTGCCAGCATTATTGTCCCATGCAGCTTTAATACAACTTTATTTGCATAGTTTTATGAATCAACTTAATAAACACCTGAAATTAAATCTATAACAATTAAGCATAAACAGTAGAGTTTCTCTAGACCTTTCTTGCTATAGCTAATGAGTTTTAGAAATACAGCTATAACAGTCAGAGAAACATTAGGATACAAAATTAAAGCTTCAAGAGCTCAAATAAGCAACCTCTGATCTCTCTGATGGTGAGGTCAAATGAAATATTTTTAATAAAAAAATATAAACCTCTGTTCATTGTCAAATATTCTTACAGAAATGAAGTCAAACTGTACTCAGTGAAGCTGCTTATGCTATTATTGAATGGAGTTGTTTAATCCTCTGTTTTAATTCAGTTGGTTTGGTGTGAGGCTGTGTCTGTAGTTTTATTTCTTCCTTCAATTTCTTATTCCTTCAGTGATTGTGCTTGTTAATAGCAGGTGTTCAACAGCAGGTGTCTGAATTCACTTATTTGTGGTCATTCGCTCTGTCTAGTGGACTAAACTAATTGACTAATTTAAGGGCCAGGTGAATGAGGGTGTGGCGAGATTTCAGACACTCTGATTAGTTTCTCAAACACAAGGGTTTTCTACAAAGGTAGATACATGTTACTCTGTATGACAAGGCAAATCAGCTTCTAACGCCGAGAGGGTTATTTTACCTTTATCTAACTCTAGAATTTTAACACTTTACTCTGAATTACCACAACACTTGAAATTTAACACCAATGAATTTGCTGTGTGGGCCGCAGTAAAATTGTCACGCTTTGACTGGTTCACAGTGATAAATAGGTTGGGGACCACTGCTCTACATCATCTCATGCAGGCGCTGAACATATATTCTCGGTTCAGCCGTCTGTTTGGTGTGTT